ACTTAAGCCAATAATATTCAACATACTCCTTCAAACCAGTTGCTGTTGAGTTTGTTCCAACTGTTGGTGACCCGATATGTGCCAGCCTGACTGTTGCATTCTTTTTCTATGGCCACGGCTTTTCAGAAGCAAAATACTAGGCTTTTCACTGAGACACCAGAGAGTGGATTCAAACTGCCAACCTTTCAGTCAGTAAATGAATGCTTAGCTCTTTGTGTCACCAAGGAATCCCAACCCACTTCCTCAACTATGATCTAGATGAGAAGCAGACAAATTATGACCTGCAGGCCACACCCAGCCTGCTCTGGTTTTCTTGTGATCTGTAAAATAAGAATTTTTTTCATGTGATTGAGAAAAAGTTCAGAAGAATAATTTTTCATGACATGAAAATTATATGAAAAGGGAGCTCTGGAGGCCTAGTGGCAAGAAGTTGCACTGCAATCCCAGAGGTATGCGGTTCGAATCCACCAGATGCTCTGCTGGAGAAGGATGGACAATCTCCTCCTGTACCAGTCAGATCTACTTTGATGGTACATGCACAAAAATTAATAAAATAAAACAAAATAAAATAAAAAAGGAAAATGATATGAAATGAACATTTTAGTGTTCATTAATAGAGTTAGGTTGGAACAGTCATATTTGTTAGTTTCAACAATGTTTGTAACTGTTTTGCTCTACCAGGTCAAATCCTTTAAAAGCGGGGGGAGGGAAGAAAGAATTGATTAGTTAATTGCTTTATCTTTTTTTTTTTTTAGAAATAGCTTTTTGCTTTATCTTTCTAACACAGGACTCAATTTTTGTTCACTTGGAATTTTAGTTGCTCTTCACTGATTTACAAACTGACCCTAAAAACCTCCTTCAGTATTTCATCCTTTTTGGTATAACATCCAAAGCAGTTTCTATTCCTTTTCTGGACATACTTTGTCAAGAAAATTATAATTCACCCTCAAGGCTCCACTTTCAGCCAAACAGTAGAAAAGCCTAGAAGGAAATCAGTAACAAAAGGCAGGCTCTTACTCACTGGTGTAAGCCACCATAGAAGGGCAGCAGAGCAGCGTTCACCCAACGATCAAGTCCTGAGTGCAGGACAGCGACAGAAAGAAGGATGCATGGAAATGACACGTAGAAGGAGGAAGCAGGGGAAGTGAGTTGCATTGTGGGTACAATAACTGATGTTATATATATTTTAAAAAGGAGTGTTAGTTACGGAATTAAAAACCAGTTTGCTTTGTGAACATTTTCTCACATCACAACAAAAAGAAAACTGCACTCCTAAATCTTAGAATTACCTAATTAAAGACCTGCTAACAGACGTACAGAAAATGTTGTTGTCATGTGCCGTTGAACAGACCACAGAGAATAGAATCTCTTTAAGAATAGAGTTCTAGGGGAGTTCTGGTGGCCTGGTGGCAAGAAGCTGCACTGTAATCCCAGAGATACGTGGTTCGAATCCACCAGATGCTCTGCCGGAGAAGGAGGGGCCGTCTCCTCCTGTACCAGTCAGATCCGATTTGGCAGTACACACACACACAAGCAAAATAATAAAATAAATTTGGAAAAGAAAAAGAATAGATTTCTAGGAGATCTTCACGTGCAATGTTCTCTAAGCGCAATAATCATTCATATAGGAGGAAATTCCAGTGTATCTACTTCCTACTTAAAGACATGGTTAGATTTCAGGACCAGACATATGAAAACTGGCGTTAAATGGTGACGTTTTATTACGTGACTGCCAAATCACATCATTATATAACTGCTTAACTAGTGAGAATCATGGTCCTGTCAAGTGGAAACATGATCTTAGCCGTCAAAGCCGCCACTAGTCTCCCCTCACACCAAAGTGTTTGTTATTGCTGGTTATCTATATAGTTAAGAAGTATTTAAAGAGTAGGGTTTTATTTTCACTACAGTGTTTGGTGGAGTTGCCTGATTAAAACAAGCTCGGAAGCAGGAGTGGCATCCATTTCTGAAATGGCTTGTCTCCGGAAACCCTATGAACAGTAATCAGGTCTTTTGTTCATAGGGTCGCTATGAGTCGTCTACGACTCAACAGCACTTAACAACAACAACAACTATTGAAAATGGTTGTTTGTTTATTGTTGTTGTGTACCATTGAGTGGGAACCGACCCATAGCTGACATAGGTGGGTTTTCAGAGGCAGTTAATTGCATGAGAGGAGATTGTCCATCCTTCTCCCATGAAGCAGCTGGTGGATTTGAACCACGTGCCTTTGGGATTGCAGCACAGCTTCTTTTCACTAGGCTACCAGAGCCCCCTAAACATCAGATAATAGACGAGTGAGAACTCAGTTTAAATGAAAATTATTTTTCTCATCTTGGACTTTGCTGGCGTAGGGGAGAAGCTGTTGCAGTGCAAACCCAAAAGTAGGTGGTTTGAATCCACCAACTGTTTTATGGGAAAAAGAAAGGCAGACTCTTCCCATGTGATTTAAAGCTTCTGAAAACTCCTTGAAGGATCAACTGTTGAGTTGATTCTGACTAGACAGCAATGAGGGAGGAATCCCTATCAGAATTTATGCAACTATGTGCTCTATTGCTTATACTTCTACGAAGGTTAACCCAGGGCTAAACTTTTCTGAGAGAAAACTCTGTTTCTGGCATTCTGTTCATCTCTTTTCCGTCGTATTTTTCCATCCTGTCTCACTTCCTCTGACTGTTGTCTCAGGACGCTGTGGTTGTTGTCCGATACACAACTTCAACTCAGTGACCTTTTGTGAAATAGGAGGACACACTGCCTGTCCTTTGGGTCAGACGTATGTATTAGTCATTTACATCTGAGTATTATTTATTTGGAATTTTAAATCATAATCCTGCTCTTCCCACTCTCACTTAAACATACATGTTTTCTGGAACTTAAGATTTAGGGTAAAATTTTTGGGTTTTCTTCCATTTTTCTTCATTATTTTTTTTGTTTCTACCCACCTTCTCCCTTAGCTTATATTTTTTTATCCACAATGAGAAAAATCTCTCAGTTTTTCAATAAAGAGAAAAGCAGATTAGCCAAGTATGGAAGTTGCTAATTTTTTTTAATTTTATTACATCGCAGGCAACTCAATGGCACATAGCAATAACATACTATGGCATCCACTTCCTCAACAACATGCCTCCGGAAACTCTATTAACTTTGATAAATGTCATTAGTTGTAGAGGGGTTTCAGGCCTCTTGTTCATAGAGTTGCTATGAGTCGTGCTCGACTCAGAGGCAGTCAACAACAACACAACAACAACATTAGAAATATGATTCTTAAAATAATAATTGTTTAGAATTTTAATAAAGTAAACTTACGTATAAAAATAGGGGTTATTTGGGGAGCTTTGGTGGCCTAGTGGGTAAGGAGTTTTGCTGCCACCCATAAGGCAGGGGGTTCAAATCCACCAGATGCTCCACAGAAGAAAGATGGGCAGTTTCCTTCTATGTAATTTACAGCACAGAAAATGCACTGGAGGGTCAGCTATGAGTCAGTTCTGACTCGAGAACACCCAGTAGCAACATCAAGGGGTTATTAAGCATGTGGGAGGCATCATTTGACCCAGAGAGAAAACACGGAGAGGGTGGACCAGAAATTGTGAGAACAGATGTGAGGTTTCTTTCAGTTTTTACAGGAATCCAGTCAAGAAGTCTCAAGGGGGTTTATGAATCATCCAGTCACCTAAGAGCAGGTGATTTGAGTGCTAGGAACTGAGTTACATTGACTCTCTTCCTTGTTTATAAGAACCAAACTGCTTGTGTATGTGGCCGTTTCTGCCCCACAGTCAGGAGTCTCTGTCTCATCTGAAACAGTGTAGCCAAAACACAGAGCTGATCACTGTTTTCTCTGCTGCTTCTGGCGAGACCCAAGGACAAGAGATGCCAGCAGACCAGGAGGCAAGCAGAGCTGACTATTCCAGGGAACCATTTGTCTAGGAGTAAAGATCTGAAACCTCACACCAGCATGTCTGGGTGTAGAAAGTGATCTGAACCTTTTACGATGACGTTCAAGTTACTAAAAAGCTCTGGGGGACAAAACTTGACTTTGGCCTCCAGGACACAGGGTTTTGTTGGATGGTCTTGGAGTAATACCCTGAGACTATCTACAGTCTCCGGGTCACAGTTTAACAATCTCCAGGGAACTCTACCCTTTCACGGTGACCCTGTGGCCCTTCCACAGTCAGGCACTGAGGAAAGGCCAAGTCCAAAGGCGTGACTTCTGATTTCTTCTTTGATTCAGTTCATTCGAAAGTCTCTTTACCCTCTGGACATCAGTTTCCTCCTTTGTGAAATGAGAAGATAGACTGTGGCGAACTCAGAGTTCTCTCTCCTCACCTCTCTAAGAGTCTACTTCCTGTTAAAAGAATTTAATCCAAACCCAAAGCTAAAAGCGGTATTTTCCCAGCTGTAGGAAAGGTGGTTCTTTATTTCTTCCTCCTTCCCTTCCTCTCTTGCAATTCCCTTTCTGTTCACATATCCATCCTCCACTTCCCCCTCGCTTCCCTCCAGCCCCAACAGAGAGAACAGTCTCATTTAAAAACTTTTGGGAGTTCGGGTTGTTTTTTTGGTTTGTTTTTTTTTTCCTGGTGACTCTAAAGCTACTCTGACCATATGCTCCACCTTCTTGAATCTGTGTCCCTAGAAGACAGGCATCATGTGTTCTCAGCCAGGATCAGTGTCTTCTGTTCTACCTTGTTTCTGAATTTTCCAGGATTCTCTTTTGCCTTTTAGTTTTCTGGTAGAGCCCAGAAAGTATGGAATCCAAGAGCAAATGTGCTGAGGAGACTACAGAGTCTTTCTTTGCCTTTGGACATAGGTTCCAAGGCTACTTCTCCCTGGCTAAGAGCTGAGAGAAACTGTCACCTAAGGTCCTTGGGAAGCCACAGGCAGGCACCTCGGGCTGGGGACTTTGTTGTGTCAAAGCAGAACTATTTTCGCCTAACAGCTAGGAGCCCGGTGTGGAAAATAATAACAGCACCCAACACGCAGCTGTTCCCCCCTCGTTTACTTACAGTTCCATAGCGTTCCTGGGGAGGTCGAAGGGGATCTCTGTCACCTTGCTCCCTTGGCAGAGAAGGACCCTGTTGGAGCAGTGGCAGGTCCTGTGATGACAGCCAGAGCCCAGGTGCAGGCACGCCAGCAAGGCCACCAGAAGGAAGGCCATGCTTACTTAGCCATCCACCTGCATCTGCAGAGAAGAGCTTCCGCAGATGGAGGAGGCTCAGGCGGAGCCCTGGCAAGAAGGATCTGCCCCAGAGCTGCGTGGGTCATGTGACCCACCAAGGGATGGTGCTGGGGGCGGGGAGGGGTTGCCATTTTCAGGCTAAAGGAGACATTTCTGTGTACCAGCTGTGAGACAAGATAAGCTACTCCCTTATCTGTCACAATTGAGTTTCTTTTACCTTGAACCTTGAAGCTCGGGTGGCTAAGTGGTAAGGAATTCCACTCCCAACACAAAGGCACCCAGTTCAAATTCACTCACTGCTCTACAGGAGCAAGAAGGGTATTCTCCTCCCGTGTCTCTGAAAAGCCGCTGGAGGATCAGCTATGGGTCGGTTCTGATTCATTGGAACACAACAACAACAAAAACAACTACCCTCACCCAAGGAAGGCAGCAGAAGGAATCTTGTGGAATATTCTAAAACTTTAACTATTTCACTGGAGAAATAATCTTGCCAGTCTTCCTTCTCTTTTCAACATAATGACAAGAGGGGTATTTCCCCCTAAAAGATGCAACTTATGGTGTGATACATGATTGAAAAAGGGGTCCAGTCTCTGATTACCACAAATTGTTTGTTGCCTTAAGCTGACAACCTAAAGATTGATAATCTTAACTCACCCAGTAAAGCCACAGAAGGAAGATACAGTAATCTGCTTCCAAAATAGAGCCAAGAAAACCTGCCAACCAGTTCTACTCTGAGTACGTAAGGGGACTGTGAGTCAGTATCAGTGGGTTTTGGCACCCACTCTAAGGGAAGGACCAGGGTCTGGTCTCAGTTGTTATGCTTAAACTTCTCACCAGCTCACCTTTTATTAAACCAGAATTTCTGGGCCGATTTTTAATTTTGTCCTTATCATACGTAAGCAAAATCTTGCTGAAGATTCTCCAAAAATGACCAGAACAGTACATCAAAAGAGAATTGCCAGAAATATCTGCTGGGTTTAGAAGCGGCTGTGACATTAGGGATATCATTGCCAATGTCAGCTGGATCTTGGCTGAAAGCAGAGTCCAGAAAGGGATGACTATTAGTGTTTTATTGACTATGCAGAGACATTTGACTATATGGATCATAACAAATTATGGCTAACATTGAGAAGAAGGGGAATCACAGAACACTTGGTTGTGTCGTGAAAACCTATACCAAGACCAGGATGTTGTTATACAAACAGAGCGAAGGAACACTGCATGGTTCAGAATAAAGAAAGGAGTGTGTCATGGATGCATCCTATTTCCATACCATTTAAATCTATATGTAGAACAGATCTTTCAGGAGGCCGGACTTTATAAAGATGAATGTTACATCAGGATCAAGAGGAAGACTCATCAACAACCTATTTGATACAGATGACACAACCTTGCTTACTGGATCTGAGGAGATCTTAAAGCATTTACTGCAGAAAGTCAGGGACTGCAGCCTTCAATATGGATTCCATCTCAACATCAAGAAAACAAAGATCCTTACAGTAGGCCCAAGGCAGATCATGATAGATGGAGAAGAGATTGAAGTTGATAATAATTTCATCTTGCTCAGATCCACAATCAACACTCTTGACACCAGCAGTCAGGAAGTCAAAAAGTGAGTTGCTGTCAGGGACCTCTCCAGAGGGCTAAAGTCCAACAATGTCTATTTAGAGACTCTTCTAAATTACTTGCTCTGAATCAGAGAGCTGGATAATGGCTAAAGATAACAGAGATGAATCAATTCCTTTGAACTGTGGTGCTGGAGAAGAGTAATGAACATACCATGGACTGCCAAAAGAACACACAGGTCTGACCTGGAGCGGGTGAAACCAAATTGCTCCTGGGAGACAAATATTTTGAAACGTTATCACACATACTTTGGGCATTTTGCCTGGAGGGAATTGTCCCTGGAGTAGGATATCATGCTTGGAAAGATAGAAGATCAGCACAGGAGAGGAAGATCTTGGTTGAGATGGATTGACACAGTGAGTGTGAAAACAAGATCAGGTGTGTCAGAGATGGTGCAGTTGGCTCAGGATAGGACAGGGTTCAGAGCCATTGTTCAAAGGGTGGCTATTAGTCATAGTAGATTCAACAGCACATAACAGCAACAATGATTGTAGTAAATAGCCCAAAGTGACATTGTGTGGAAGATAGGCAGGAAGGATAGTAGACTCTGTGCAGGTCTTTGTAGGTAGAAGGCACTTTTGAGGGTGTCCATAAACATTGATCCATTGGTTGATGTGAGTGATCT